CAGGGGTAGAGCAGAGAGAGAGACACAGAATCTGAAGCAGGCTCCAGGCTGTCAGCACAGAGCCCAGTGTGGGGCTTGAACCCATGAACCGAGAGATCATGACCTGAGCTGAAGTCGGATGCTTAACTGACAGAGCCATCTAGGCTTCCCCCTTCTGCTCGATTTTAATGTTCTAACAAATAAAGTCTATTAACAGAAGTGCCAGAAAGAAATAAACTGAAATGATAAATGTCATGTTTAAAAAATCACCCCAATCTATTGATTTTTTTTTTAATATTTTTTTAAAGTTTATTTATTTTGAGAGAGAGCAAGCGTGAGCAGGGGAGGGGCAGACAGAGAGAGAGAGAGAGAGAGAGAGAGAGGGAGAATCCCAAGCAGGCTCTGTACTGTCAGCGCAGAGCTGACTCCGGGCTTGAACCCACGAACCGTGAGGTTGTGACCTGAGATGAAATCAAGAGTCAGAAGCTTAACTGACTGAGCCACGCAGGTGCCTCTCTTAGTCCCTCTTATAAATGCAATGTGTGGACTGGAAAGGACCTGGTGTACAGTCAGCCCTGACTTCAGATATTCTGCTTAATCTTTGAACGTCAGTTTCTTTGCCTGTAAAATGATGATAATGTTCCGTGGGACTGTCATATGTGTCATTAAAACACATATACATTGTTTACTGTCGTTCTAAAGACAGAGTCACAGACCTGGATTAACCTCCTTACTGAGGCAACCGAAAAACCACAAACAAAAAACTTAGAAGTGTATGAACCAAAGGTTTTCAAGACACTGGACATCAGGCAGCAAAGGATGGTTATTCTTTTTTTTTCTTCAAGTTTATTTTGAGAGTGAGAGTGGGGGAGGGGAAGAGAGCAGGAGGGAGAGAGAGAGAGAGAGAGAGAATCCCAAGCAGACAGCACAGAGCCTCTGTCTCTCTCTTTTTTATGTTTTATTTATCTTTGAGAAAGAGAGAGAGCGCAAGCAGGGGGCAGAGGGTCCAAAGCAGGCTCTGTGCTGGGAGCACCGAGCCCCACGTGGGACTCAAACTCCCAACTGAGCCTCCCAGTGGGATGGTAAATGGATACTTTTCTATCCATTTACCACAAGGCACAAGGCTGAGATACTTCCCCACCTAGTTGCCTCTTACGGGCTCTTCGCTCCGTGACCAGCGGCTTAGAGCATCAGTGGCTTCCTTCCTTGCTTTGAGTCGGTGCCGGATGGTCCGAGTGGCGGGAAGGGAGGTCAGCAGCCCGGAGCACGCGGGGTAAGAGAAAGTTCCCAGGGAGGCAGAAGTCAGTAGGTCAGAGCCCTCGGGTGGAGAGGAAGCCAGAGGAGAGCGTTGCTGTGCCGGCTCCGGGGAGCAACAGAGAGCTGATCCGCCGTGACAAAGTAGCAGGAAACCCCCAGGTGGCCCGTGCACCTGTTCTTGTCCACTTGATGATGCTGACATCCTCCGTTGGCTTGACGAGCGTGGCTAGGGGAGGGCGTCTGGTCTCATCCCCCAGATCCAAACGAGATGAGTCCACGTCCTCCTTGGGAGCCGGCAGCATCCCTGACTCCGGACACCTGTCTCGCCTTTCAGCCTCGACGCGCTGTCTAGAAGGCTGGCGCTCTTCTTGCGCCCGGCCCCTGCACGGTGGAAGGGCTGTCCACACCGCTGCGTCTCAAGCCCCTCCGCTCTCTGCAGCTAGCGTTGCTATGGTGGCTTAAGCCATGAGGTCACCATGATTAACAGGGAAAAAGTGATGTTGCCTTGGGCGTGGTTTTGTTCTGTGTGCGTGAGCAGAGTTATAGTCCTGTTGCTTTGAGCTTCCTTCCATCCAGTCTGTGGATGGTCTGCTCTGACTGTGCTTTCGTGGCCGCCTGACACACCAGTCTTTGTTTCCTGTTGTGAGGGTCCACAGTCAGGTCGATCGGTGGGTATGGACAGGTGGTCTGAAAGCGGATCTCAGAATCACCTTATTCTCAGAATCACCAAATAGTATAATTAATACCATACTGTGCCCTATTTGGTGTTTTTTTTTTTTTTTTTAGAGAGTGTTTTTTCTTCATGATCACATTTGCTGAAGATGGAAGGCAAGGCCACTGGGGGAATTTTCTAGGGGTTGGAAATATTCTGTATCATGGCCGGGGCTCGCCTTACGTAGGTCATTTGTCAAAATTCATTGGATGGTAGACTTTTCATTGGGGCGTTTCGCTGTTTGTGACTTTTCTCTTGAGAAAAACAACTGTAAGCAAATGATGAACTCTTGTTAATGATTTGCAGGCTGACGTGTTTGGGGATGAGGCAGAGTGCTCTCTGTGCCTTACTTTGAAATGCATCAAAAATGAGATGGGTTATTGGTCTGATTGACAACAGAATGTTCACAATTGGAGGATTGGGGTGGTGGGTGTATGGGTGTTTCCTGCACGATTCTTCAGCTTTTCTGCCTAATTGAAAATTCTGTAATAAAATGGTGAAACAGAAGGATTATAAGAACTACTACTTGTGTTCTCTAGAACTTTCCATAAACAGATTCCTTCCAACAGCTAGATTTCTGGGCTGACACCATATTATTCCTACAAACGGCCTCACCTGCTTCCTAAACGCAGTGTTGGTGAAATGAGTTGAGGGCCCTTGGCTTGGTGAGCTCACTGGGAACCTGGTGTGAGTGCTTTCATGAACCACGTGTTAGCCTGGACCGCCTTTGAGGGTGACACAGTTTGTCAACTTGAGTCAATAGGACTCTGAAACATGGGGCTTTCCACCCTGTAGGCAGAAGGCTGGGGCTTTGCAGCCTGAAAACAGCCTGACACCAGTGTTAGAAAAGGGGAGCCCAGGCTGGTTACCTGACAGACATGGGGGAGCTCTGTGTGTGTGTGTGTGTGTGTGTGTGTGTTCAAAAATATAAACACTATACAGTATATTTAAACATATTCTGATGCTTTTGATATTAGACCTTTCTAGTCTAGAGAAGTGCCTGTCTTCAAAGAATTTTTTTTTAATGTTTTATTTATTTCTGAGAGAGAGACACACACAGCGTGAGAAGGGGAGGGTCAGAGAGAGAGGGAGACACAGACTCTGAAACAGGCTCCAGGCTCCGAGCTGGCTGTCAGCACAGAGCCCGATGCGGGGCTTGAACCCACAAACTGCGAGATCATGACTTAAGCCGAAGTTGGACGCTTAACCAACTGAGCCACCCAGGCGCTCTCAAATAATTTTCTTTAATGTTTATATTTGAGAGAGAAAGACAGACAAGAGTGTAGCAGGGGAGGGGCAGAGAGAGAGGGAGACACAGAATCTGAAGCAGGCTCCAGGCTCTGAGCTGTCAGCATGGAGCCCGACACGGAGCTTGAACCCACAAACCTTAAGATCATGACCTGAGCCGAAGCCGGACACTCCACCAACTGAGTCACCCAGGCGCCCCAAGCATCCACTCTTTATATTTTGGTATATTTACTCCCTGATTTTTTTTTTTTTTTAAATTTCATGCATCGTTTACATAATCGTGATGTTTTTCATTTGACTCTAATGAAGTTCTTTGGGAAGGAAGCTCCAGCACCTCCTTTATGTGGACTGGCCCGGAGCCTGAGCTACAGCCACAGAGATTCTGGGTTGGTCTAGACAGAGAGAGTTCCGGCTTACTCACAGGGTACGATCCTGGGAGGGCTGGAACCTCTTAAAGAGCCTGTCGGGCGTGGAAGCAACTTTTTGCCGAATGCACACCATTTTTGCATCCTTACTAAGTGTGTGCCTGGTCGTTGAACATATGCCTAATGAAGGGTGCTGTACCAAGTACTCTTGGTGTGTTCTCTCCCCATAAGCTTGCGAGAGGCTGCCATCATCCCATCTCACAGAAGAAACACCAGACGGCAGGGAGTTCAAATGATCTGCCCTAGTCACATAGAGAGTAGATTGTGGGGTTCTAGTTCAAGAGCAGGCTCGATAGACACTTTGTAGCTGAGACAGGGCCAACTCCAATGAACTTGGTGGTTTGCAGAGCAACCTTCACGGCCACCCCACTGGCCGCTCCTGGGAACAGGCAGAGCAGGGGGCCTTAACCTCTTTTTCCTAATTGAGAACTGATGCTCCCAGAAGTTTCCAGGTTAACTCACACTGCGTGGGAAGCAAGTGGGCAGGGAGACTAAAGGTTAGAGCCTGGCTCTCTAATTTCTGTTTCATCATGTTGCAGTCAGAGCCTGAGAGTGGAGTGGGAGAGGCCTGGGGACTTGAAGGGACAAAGGGTGGGTGTAGGGGAGCCCGTGAGCAAAGGCTCAAAACTGGGGTCCAGTGGGGCTTGTTTGGAGGTGAGGGGCAGGGAAGGGCCCTGGCCTTGTGGTCTGCCAGACCTGGGGCTGGTGGCCTGATGCTTTTGTAAAAAGTGAGGCTCATCAGGGCGCCTGGGCGTCTCAGTAGGCTAAGCGTCTGACTCATGATTTCAGGTCATGATCTCACGGTTTGTGAGTTCGAGCCCCATGTCAGGCTCCGTACTGACAGTGCAGAGCCTGCTTGGGGTTCTCGGTCTCTCTCTCTCAAAATAAAGAAATAAACAAAACAAAAAAAAGATGAGGATTGTCAACCCTACTTGGTTCCCATTGAGAATTAAAGGAAATAATTTTGTTGAAATCGTCCGACCTGCGTGCTTGGCAGGTTATAATCATGGTGTGGTTTTTTGGATGCCGTCTGATAAGCAGTGGGAGCCTTTGAGAGCTTTGGGCCAGGACGTAGATTGACAAAGCAGAGATTTTTTTCCCCTGACTATCAGCATGCCAGTGTGGAGGTCAGTCAGCATGGGGCTTGGGGGTAGGGGCCTGAAGGCCAGCCTGATGGCTGTTTCCTGGAGTTGAAAAGCTGATGGAGAGAGAGAGAGAAGGAGAGAGAGAGGAGAGAGAGATCTCCAAGGAGTGACCCACTGGATTTGGTGATGGGCTGGTTATGGGAACTGACAGGCATCTCACTTTGCTTATTGGCTTTTCTATGACTCAGTTTACTCTGTCTCCTCCCAACTCACCGGCATATTCTTGCTTTGCAGGAGCCTGCGTGAAATGCAGCAAAGGGGTGTTCGGGGCCGGCCAGGCCTGCCAGGCTATGGGGAACCTCTACCACGATGCATGCTTCACCTGCGCGGCCTGCAGTAAGTGTGGGGTGTGCCCGGGGACAAGGACGGGGGGTTGGGAGGACAGGGAGGACAGGGGAGAGCATCCTTTCTGGAGGCACTTGACCCAGGCCTCCCACAGCGCCGCAGAAAGGCGGGTCGGGGCCCTTGAGAGCCCCCAGCGCAAGGCCCATCAGAGGAAGGGGCCATACCAATGACTGCCCAGGGCCAGTGAGCGGGTAGTATCTGTAGTAACGTCTGTAGTAACATCAGGTTTGTGATGCGAATCAGAGATCTCAGAGGGGCTGGGGGCAGAGTGGGGAGGGGGAGGGGGGGAGCACTGGGATCCACCATCGTCCTCCCCCACTGTGGCACCAGCCAGTCAAAAGTTGGTCAGTTACTCCTGTGTGAGGAGGGGCCCTTTTAGTACGCTGTGAGTCCGCTCTTTGATTTGGAGGCTTCTCTATGAGTGTGAAGTGTGAGTGTGTGCACAAACGCCCGTGTGTGCACACACCGAGGCGTCAGTGCCCGTGAGCGCACACACCTGCTGGCCTCTCCACTCCGTATACGCAAACTAGATGACCAGGCCTGTGCTCAGCCCCGCAGACTGTTCGTTGGGTTGATGGCAAGCACAGTGGAAGATTCTAGCACATTCGAGATGTTTGCTGAGTCTGACCATGTCTGGAACTGTGCTTGTTTTATGGCTTCTACCAAAGATTAATTCTGAGGAGTGTTTTTTAGAAAATGCCCCGCTGATGTTCTCCAGTCCTGTGCTGAGGCTAGCAGCTATCAATGACAAGGAAACGGTACAGTAAAGCCAGAGAGTCCGGAGCAAAGGGGTCTTGTTATCTGGCCCCTCAATCCTGGCTCTTCATTAGAATCCCCTAGGAGATTTTGTTTCTTTTTGTTAAGTTCATTTATTTATTTTGAGAGAGAGAAAGAGAATCAGCATGCACACACACACACAGGGGAGGGGCAGAGAGAGAGGAGAGAGAGAATGCCAAAAGGGCTTCATAATGTCAGGCCAGAACCTGATGCAAGGCTTGAACTCATGAACCGTGAGATCATGGCCTGAGCTGAGATCAAGAGTTGGACAGTTAACTGACTGGACCATCCAGATGCCCCTCCCCTAGGGGATCAAAAAAAATTCTTTTTTAAATGTTTATTTATTTATTTTTATTTTTTTTAAATACTTTTTTTTAAGTGTTTTATTTATTTCTTAGAGAGAAAGAGAGAGAGCATGAGGAGGGGAGGGTCAGAGAGAGAGGGAGACACAGAATCTTAAACAGGCTCCAGGCTTTGAGCTGGCTGTTAGTACAGAGCCCGACGTGGGGCTCGAACCCATGAACCATGAGATCATGAACTGAGCTGAAGTCGGATGCTTAACTGACTGAGCCACCCAGGCGCCCCTAAATGTTTATTTATTTTTGAGAGAGAGAGAGAGAGAGGGAGAGAGAGAGAGAGAGAGAAAGAGAGAGAGAGAGAGAGAGAGAGAGAGAGAGAGAGACAGGAGTGGGGGAGGGGCATAGAGCGAGTGAGACACAGAATCTGAAGCAGGCTCCAGGCTCCCAGCTGTCAGCACAGAGCCCCAGTGCAGAGCTCGAACCCACGAACCATGAGATCATGGCCTGAGCTGAGATCAAGAGTTTGATGCTTAACAGACTGAGCCACCCAGACGCCCCTCCCCAAGGGGGTTTTAAAAGCCAGTGATGCCCCGGTGCCACCGAGGGTGGAGTTTCTAGAATGGTCAAGAGTGCTTTTCCTGTCTCCTCAGGGGACTCCAGGGCGTGGTCAGGCCCAAGCATCTGGATTAGTGCCAGCCTCCTCATTTCAGAAGCTTCTGGAGAAAGGAGGGGTTAGATTTGCTCTTGGCTGGTTTGTGGCACGTCCAGTGAGCCTCCTGATTCTCAGTCTAAAGTGAGCCAGGTGGGCATGGACCTGCCTCCCAGCCTGCCAGGCTGTGATGGCTAGGCACACGCCCGGGTTCAAAACCTCATACGTGAATCCTTGCCTCGATTTCCCACGAAATGCCTGCCCTACAGTCTATGGTTTGTGCATTGATGAGTATTCACCTCTGTAGGGAAAATGTGAGAGAGCCTTAGAGGTGAGTCAGAAGCCTGCTGAGCAGCCTCATCAGAAATGTGGGCGTGGCCTGGAAGCGTGGGCGTGGTCTGGAGTCATTTTCCCTGGGCTCGAGCTTCTCCTTGTCTCTGAGCCACGCTGCACCTTGTAAGTTGTAGAATCCCCATGGCAACCACGATTCTTGTCCCTAACAATGCAGACTGTGTCTGGTGGAGATGCAGTTGCCGGTCGCCCTGTGGAGGTTGGTTTCGCTTCTGCCAAAGCAAGTTTATTTCAGCACTCCTGATGGCCACATAGCCGGGGTTCTTTGCACTATCCCAGATGTAACATCTTGCATCTCCCTGCATTAACTGATGAGTTAAATTAAATCTTTGACAGTGTGTTTGAGTCTTATCTGGACAAGAGTTGGGATCCTGCCTCTTTCTAAAACATTATCTTTGAGGCGCCTGAGTGGCTCAGTTGGTTAAGCGTCCAGCTTCTGCTCAGGTCATGATCTCACAGTTCATGGGTTCGAGCCCCATGTCTGGCTCTGTGCTGACAGCTCAGAGCCTGGAGCCTGCTTCAGATTCTGTGTCTCCCTCTCTCTCTTTGCCAGTCCCTTACTTGTGCATGCGTGCTCTCTCTCTTTCTCTCTCTCTCTCTCTCAAAAATAAAGACATCAAAAAAAATTTTTTAATTACCTTTGACTTTTGGCTCCTGCAACTGGTTCTCAAAATTTGCTATTTTCCAGGGGAAAGAAAATATTAAATAGAAGCTAATTTCCATCTCAAGCAGTTGCCATTTGAGCAAAGAAAGTTTTTCAGAGTTGGGGTGGGTACCGAAAACTCACTTGGTGCCACTTGTGGCTGCCCGACTACCTGTTGGTTCCATATCGGGTTGAATTTATCCTCAGGTGATGGCGGGCACAAACACGGCACACACGGCTGGTTGGGATTTTCCTGGTCTAGCTTCTAGGGCCCTTGTGTTGTGGTCTCTGGCTTAATGCTTCCTGTAATTGATCACAGACTGAACTCCCTTTTCTACTTCCCTATCTCTGATCACACCACCCCCTAGATCTGCTCTCCCCACTCCATACATTTAAGTTCTGTCCAGTCGTTAGGGCCCAGCTCAACGGCAGTCTCTTCCAGGAAGTCTTCCCTATTCCCCTAGCAGGAAGAAATCATTTTCCCCCCCTCGAACTCGGCATGCCCTGCTTTCTTACTGGTGCTGTCCTGTAGACTGTGAAGTCACTCTCTGTGACTTTGGAGCCAGCACGCCAGGCCCTGGAACAGAGTTGTTGACAGGTGAGGACAGGGCCCCATCAGGAAGTGAGTGGCGCACATTCCCGTTCGCCAAGGGCCTGCAGGCTCCCGTTGTGTGTAAACACACGTGCCCCCTGCGCTCGCTGAGCAGTTGGAGACCCAGGCCTGCGTCTGAGCAGCGTCTCTTGGGCGCTAGAGGTGCTTCGCCCTGTCCGGTTGACTTATTGCCATCCTGGGACTGTATTCAGCAGCAGGAAGCACCTGGGCGCTCCGCGTCCCGGCTCCGCAGGTCCCCAGGTGTGTCACCAAACCCTGGTGCTGCGCAGATGGCTCAGCCCGGGCCAGGCCTGGTCCCTCGTCACTGGCACAAGAGAACATGGGGACCCAGAGAGGGAAAGAGCATTTCTCAAGATTAAAGACCTAGGAGCAGAGCTGGTGCCGGAATCCAAGGCTCCTGGATCTTATTAGCTTTGCATATGCCCGTGTCTCTCGGTTAGTGTATGTGTTAGTGAGTTTATAGGTGTGTGTGCTCTCCGTTTTCCCATTTCTTCGTGAAGATGATCTCGCTGGGGGCGCCTGGGTGGCTCAGTCAGTTAAGTGTCCCACTCTTTTTTTTTTTTTAAAAAAAAATTTATGTTTTTAAGTTGATTTTACTATATGTGCTGCCGAAGCGAGCACTGTTTTTAAGTTTATTTTGAGAGAGAGAGGGAGACAGCGTGAGTGAGGGAGGGGCAGAGAGAAGGGGAGAAAGAGAGACAGAGAATTCCGAGCACACTTTGTACTGTCAGCACAGAGCTCGATGTGGGGCTTGAACTCACAAAACTGTGAGATCATGATCTGAGCTGAAACTGACTCAGATGCTTAACCGACTGAGCCACCTAGGCGTCCCCACAGAGAATTTCAAGGGCAGAGACCTAGTGTGTGATTCTAGCACAGGTGTTTTTACTTGTGTGTTTTCCCTTCTAGGTTTTGCCCAGAGATACTCACGGCTTATAGAGCTGTGATCACAGCATGTAAATAATGTTCTGTCCTTTTTGATCGAACGTGCTGTGGACCCATCCACATCTCTGCAGTCTTCAGCATACTGATTTAACACTCTCAGAGCAATGGACCGCGCTGGGCCGCAGTTCTGCGGCACTCGGCTTGTGTGGGGTTTACTGGGTGTTCTGCAGAGCCTGCCTCACTGCCCGCCTGCACCCCCCTTTTTCTCTGCTGAATTGTGTCCTTGGTGTGCTGCCCAGAAGTCAACATTCAGGGTGCGGCGTGTGGGCCTTTGTGTGGTCTGCTCAAGTCCCTCCTTTCGGATTGCTCCTTGGGCGGCCAGTGTGTGTGGTTGCCATGGAGATGTGGGGGGGTGTCCCTTCTCCCACTGTGGGACCTGCCCACCCCAGGTGGCTGTGCCCTCAACTGGATGCCCTGAGGAAGCCGTTGGCACAGTGTGGAGCAGGAGGAGGGTCAGCGCAGGGGGCAGGCATGGCCTTGGCCTTGGCCCTGGCCGGCAGCCATGCTCTGCGTCTGACGCTGGGTGTTGAGTGGCCTGAGGAGAAGCTGGCGCCCGTCTGTGGCTGAGAGGGGTAGAATGAGGAGGAAGGAAAGGTACCAGGTCTGGACGTGTGGGTCAAGAGGGCCTCTCCAGAGTGGGGCTCTGGCACCTTCTAGAACAGACTGTGAGGGAGAAGGAAGATAAGGCTCTGTGTCCTTCCTTCAGGCAGGTTT